TCATTCATGGACATATACACACTCATTGTCACATTTTTTTCTCTGTGAGTTATCATAACATTTTGTGTATATTTCCCTGTGCTGTACAGTGTAAAATGTCTTATATTTATAGCAGTCTCTTTAAAGCTGATAACAAAGTAACATTGACTACATACAAAGACTTTACATTTTAACTTCTCCTACCCCTACATTTTAAGTTATTGATGTCACAATTTATAATTTTTAGATTGTGTATCCATTGACAAATTATTGTAGCTATAGGTATTTTAGTACTTTCGTGTTTTAATTTTTATACTAGAGTTAAAAGTGATTTACACATCACTATTATAATGTTAGAATATTCTGAATTGGGCTATATTGTTACCTTTACCAATTTGTTTTATACTTTCATATGTTTTCATGTTGTAAGTGTCCATTTACTTCAACTTGAATATATCCTCTTTTAGCAATTCTTGTAAACCAAGTCTAGTGGTGATTAGCTCCTTCAGCTTTTGTTTGTCTAGAATTTTTTCAAAAAAAAATCTCCATTTATGAAGGACTGCTTTGTCCAGTATAGTATCCTTGGTTGGTAGTTTTCTCCTTTCAGCATTTTGAATATATCATACCACTCTCTCCTGACTGCAAGGTTTCTGCTGAGAAATCTGCTCACAGCATTATGGGGATTTCCTTGTATGTGACAGTTTGCTTTTCTCTTGCATTCAAGATGTTCTCTTTGTCCTGAAGTTTTGCGAATTTTAAAATAATGTGTCTTGATTAAAATCTTTTAATATTTAATCTATTTGGATGTCTTTGGGCTTCATGAATCTGGATGTTCATTTCCCTCTCAAAATTTAGTAAGTTTTCTGTCATTATTTCTTTAAATAAGCTTTCTGTGTCTTTCCCCTTCTTCCCCAATTCTGAGACTCCCATAGTGTGTACATTGGTTTGTAGATAATGTCCCATAAGGCTCAAGTTTTCTTCAATTTTACAATTTTTTTCTTTTTTGTTCCTCTTACTAATTTAAGTGACTCTTTGACCTCACCAATTCTTTCTTCTGCTTGATCAAGTTTGATGCCGAAGTTCTCTATTGAATTTTTCAGTGCAGTCATTGTGTTCTTCAACTCCAGAATTTCTGTTTTTCTTTTTCTTTTTTTTCTTTTTTTAATGATTGCTATCACTTTCTTGAAATTCTCATGCATTGTTTTCTTGATTTTGTTTCATTGTCTGGGTTCTCTTATAGCTCACTGAGCTTCTTTAAGACAATTATTTGGAATTCATTTTCAGACAGTTCAGATTTTCATTTCATTAGGATATGTTCATAGTGCTTTTATTGTTCCTTTGGTGGTGTCAAGTTTCCCTGATTATTCCTGATCTTTGTAGCCTGGAGTTGGTGTTTGCCTATTTAAAGAAGTGGATATGTCTTCCATTCTTTACAGACTGACTTTGGCAAGGAAAGCCCTTTGTCAGTCAGCACACACAGAGATTCTGAGTAGGCCAGCTGGTAGGCTCCACAAATGGGTTTGCTGGTAGAGTCCTTGGGTAGGTTGTTCTGGTGCCTGGGTCAGTGGATGAGCAAGCCTGAAGCCTGGATCTGCAAGGGAGAGTTTGGGGTCTGGGCCTGGGAGGCTATCCTGTCACTGGGGCATAACTGGAGTCTGGGTTCACAGGGTCTGGGGCATAACTGGAGTCTGAGTCCTCAAGGCTAGCCTGGAGGTTGAGTCCATGATTACATCCTGGAGATTAGAGCCATAGGGACCAGCCTAGAGGCTGGGTCTGTGGTTGTGTTTTGGAGACTAGGGCTGTAGGAGCCAGCCTAGCAGATAGTGAGCCTGGATTCTGTGTCTGCATGGGCAGTCCCAGAGCCTGGCTTTGCAGAGAATGGCCTAGTGGTGGGATAGGTCTGGAGTCTGGGTCTGTGGAAGCTAGCTTGGAGCCTGGCAAAATGGGGGATAGGTTGGTGCTGAGGTTTACTGTTGTGGGCCTGGTGCTGGAGTCCAAGGTAAAGTAGGGTGCTCACTTCACTCACCTTCCTCCATGTGGAAGGGATCTCTTTCTTTACTGCATTGTGTGAGCTAGGGAGAGAGGTGATGTGGGTAATATGAAAATGTCCTTTCTGGCATTTGCAATGCACCTTTTCTTACTTCTGTACTCCACCCAGGTGCTCTGACCTCTCATCTGGATTCCATAGCTCTCATGAAGGGATTTTCATGTATGGATGACTGAATTGACGTTACTGTGAGGGGACAAGCACTAGAAACCCTTATTCAGCCATTACTCCTCTATGTTAGCTGAATTTGTATTTAAAATCTCAGAACATTCAGAAAACACTGCTCACCCATTTCAATGTATTGAGGTAAAGATCTAAGAACACCTTGGAACTCCACTGGCCTGCTAAGGTAAAATGGTAGCTGGCTTTACAGGTTCATATCTGTGCTATCCACTGCCAGAAGACTAATTCATTTCCGGGCACAAATTTTATAAACCTTGCCTTGCCTGGCCCAGGACCCAGGAAAAGTCTATCATTACATGGAGAAAAATGGTTATACCTCCACTTCTGCCCTTTAATATCCTCTTTGTCTCTAATCACTATTAAGAAGCTAAGGGTAAGCCTTAATACTGACCTTCACTTTCATCCAGGGAAGAAGCATAGAAAACTGTCCTTTCCCGCAGCAAGCGCTTCGAAATTGTGATAGGTTTGTGCCTTCTTGCTGTCACTCGAGGAGGAGGCACTGGGGGTGCAGTACTTTCCTCAGGTGGACCTGAATATATCTGTAGAGGGGAAATATTTCCAGGAAACAATTAGAAAGATCAACTTTTTGTATCTCTAATGCTAACCACCAGTTGATATCAACCAGCATTAAATGTAGAGTCTGCCATAGCAATTCTAATGTAACCAAAGGAATTGGGGGATTTACTTAATCACATTAGCTACTAGTAAGCATTTAGAGAACTCCTACCATGTCTGAGGCACCATACCTAGTACTTCTCAGTGTGGAGGAAAGAGTGCAGACAAAAACTGCAACATCAGGGGAGCACCATTCTATTTATTAGATAGGATGCTGCCCAATACATGAATCATTTAATAAAGCCAATTAGGTTATTAATTTAAAAAATAATGTGACATCAGTCCTGAGTTTTCCAATTACTTTCCAGGAAACTGTAAAAAAGTCACCCCCGTTAAAAAAAAACGTAAAAAGTCACCTCTCATCTCTAAGCCTTAGCTTCCTCTCTGTAAATTGGGAAGAGTACTATCTACCTTACAGGGTGTGTTGAGAATCAAGTGAAAAGGGTAGTCAAGTTACATTGTATGGGTAGGGGTAGGGTGTGGAGGATGACTAAAAACACTCACATGCATTATTTCTGAAAGGATACCAGAAAAACTGGTTACATTGTTTGTCACAAGACAAGAATAAAGAGTAGCTGAGGAAAGTATGTAAGAAACATTTTTCACTCCAATATCATTTTGATCTTTAAAATTTTCATACCACATATGCACTACTTATTCAAATAATAAAGGGCAAAAACAAACTGCCTTGGAAGGTATAAAAGTGCTGAATAAATGAGGGAGGAGTTGTGACTAGAATTTGTATATAGTGTCTCATATGTACTTGAGGATCTTCATATCCCTGGGGAGAATGACCTTTTGGGCAGAGTGAACATACTTTGGGAAGGCACACATGTGTGGTGAGGGAGGAAGGGGCCAAGGTCCATTGCAATAATAGAATCAACCACAATGATTAGTGCAAAGAGATATGTCATAGCCCAACATTCTACCAGGCAAGAGTCAACATAGGTTGCACATCACAGAATTTACATGATTGGGAAGACAAGGCAAGCCTATGTAAAAGCTGCACAATGATAGAGAAGAATGTAAGAACAATCATAAGGCAGTACACATCTCAATGTCTCATGGTATAGGTAGCCAGCAGATGAGCTTTGAGGCCATATAGTTTTAAGTCATATTTCTGGTTCCACCACCATTAGTAATAATATACTAAATAGCTACCATTTTGTGAGCATCTGCTTAGGCACTGTGGTAATTGTTACAAATATTCCCTGCTATTCATCAAACATACCAGAGCCTTTGTACTGAGTGTTTCTTCTACCTGAAGTGCTCTTTCTCCAGATTTTCATATAGTTTGCTCCATTGATTCCAGTAAGATTATGATCAAATATATTTCCCTCAGTGAGTCCTTTCAGGTAAATGTATCTAAGACTTTGACATGCCACCTTCCTACTTCCTTCTCTGTTTAAACTTTTTTCTCCTTAGTATTTCTTATCACTTTCTAACATAGCACATTGTACTTACTTAATTTTTATTGTTTGTCTCCTCACTCAATGGAATGCTATATTGAAATATATCATCATGTTCACTGCGATATCTCCTGCATCTAGAAGAGTGGCTAGAATTGCTTGGCCAACAAATAAACACAATTAAAATTCTGACATAAAAGGTCAAATTGTCCTCTGAAAAGACCATAACAGCTACTTCCCTTTCCAGCCAAAATAGCACAAAAGGGACTAGATTTACATCTTCAGCATGAAGCAATTAAAAATAAAACTAGAAAAAATACATGTAACAATGATTTTGAAGGCATCTGAAATCTGGCAATGAAGGACAGGAATCCATGAGAGGGAGGGAAAATGACCATAACTGTCTCAGCTTACAGTCTGGAAAGATTCTGCAGGCCATAATGCAGGAAGAGGAACCCAGGGGAGTCCAATAGTCTCTTTAGGTTGAAGTCATTGAGTTGAAAGTATCAGGAGGGCAGGGAAGTGAGTTTTTAGGGCAGAGTACCAGAGAACAAATAACTGCACAGAGAGCTATGGAGATCTGCAGATGTCCTCCTTAAGATTCTAGCTGAGTACTAATCAATACATATGTGTGAGGAAAGAACCACATGATAGAATTAGAAGAAATAATCACATAAGATCACACACTGCTGGAAGAGTTCCTGTTGTCATCAGTCATGGTGGATTATTAAACAATTCATAGGGCACTGAGTTGAGTACACAGACAAGATTTTTGCCTTATTAGTGAAGAAAAATTAACCCTAAACTGAATACTACTCTTTTTCTGCTTAACAAAGCCTAAAGGAAGTATATGAAAGCATTGAGCTCTTTTCAAGTAACTTAAGTGCACCCCAGAAAAAAAGCTCAAGAATATTATTTATGGAAATAACAAAATGGCCAACATCCAAGAAGGTAAAATTAATAATGTTTTACATCTGATAAAAAGTTAACAGAAATACCTTATACATAGCCCTTTCTTATTTTGATGTGTTTTATTTCTTTGTCTTGCCTAGTTGTTCTGGCTAGGATTCCAAAACTGTGTTCAATAGGAGTGGTAATAGTGAGCATCCTTATCTTGTTCCTGATCTTAGCTCGAAAAGATGTCTGCCTTTGGCCATCAACTATGATGTTAGCTGTGGGCTTTTCCTATATAGTCTTTGTAATGTTGAGGTATGTTCTTTCTATACCTAATTTGTTGAGAGTTTTTATCATGAAAGGATGTTTGAATTTTGGCAAATGCATTTTCTGCATCTATTAAGATTTCTGTTTTTCATTCTATTAATGTGGTGTATCACATGTATTGATTTGCATATGTTGAACCATCCTTGCATCTCAGGTGTATATCCCATTTGTTCATGGTCTATGATCCTTTTAATAAGTGCTGTTCAATTAAGTATGTTAGTAATTTGTAGGTAATTTCTGCATTGGTATTCATCAGGTATATTGGCTGTGGCCTGTAGTTTTTTCCTCTCCTTCTCCTTCTTCTTCTTCTCTTCTTTCTTCTCCTTCTTTCTTCTCCTTCTCCTTTCTTCTCCTTCTCCTTTCTTCTCCTTCTCCTTCTCCTTCTCCTTTCTGCTGCTGCTGCTTCTCCTTCTTCTTCTTCTTCTTCTTGTTTTTTGTAGAGTTCTTATCTGGCTTTGGTATCAGGGTAATGTTGGTTTCACAAAACGAGTTTGGGGGTGTTCTCTCCCTTTCAATTTTTTTGAATTAAGAAGGATTGGCATTAATTCTTATTTTGATGTTTGGTGGAATTCATCAATGAAACAATTTGGTCCTGAGCTCTTCTTTTTTGGCAGATTTCTGATTACTGATTCAATCTCCTCACTCACTATTAGTCTGTTAAGATTTTCTATTTCTTCATTATTTAGTCTTGGTAGGTTGTATGTTTCTAAGAATTTATCCATTTTTGTAGGTTATCCAATTTGTTGGCATATGATTATTCATAGTAGTCTCTTATTATCCTTTGTATTTCTGTGGTGTCTCCTTTTTCATTCCTGATTTTATATATTTGAGCCTTCTCTTTATTTCTTAGTCTAGCCAAAGATTTTTAGTTTATCTTTCCAAAAACCACAGCTTAATTTCACTGATTTTTTCTATTATTTTTCTGTCTCTATTTCATTTATTTCTGCTCTGATCTTTGTTATTTCCTTCCTTCTGCAAACTTTGGGCTGAGTTTGTTCTTTTTCAGTTTCTTGGGGGTGTTAAGTTGGGTTGTTTATTTGTGATCTTTCTTTTGTCTTAATGTAAGTGTTTACCACTGTAAAATTCCTTCTTAGAACTGATATATTCATATCTCATAAGTTATGGTTTGTTGCTTTTCTATTGTCATTTGTTTTAATATATTTTTGATGTCTCTTCTGATTTCTTACTTGACTCATTTGTTGTTCAGAAGTGTGTTGTTTAGCATATATTTGTAAATTTTCCAGTCTTCTACCTGTTACTGATTTCTACTTTCATGCCACTGTGGTCAGAAAACTATTTGGTATGATTTCAGTCTTCTTATATTTTCTAAGGTTTATTTTGTGACCTAACTTATTATCTAACCTAGAGCAAGTGCTATGTGCACTTGAGAAGAATGTGTATTCTGTTGTTGAGTGAAATGTTCTGTATATGTTTGTTAGGTACATTTGGTGTAAAGTATAGTTTAGGTCCAATATTTCTTTAATTGATTTTCTGTCTGAATAATCTATGCTTTACTGAAAATGGGGTATTAAAATCACCTACTATTATTTCACTGTTGTTTATTTCTCCCTTAAAAATTGTTAGTGTTTGATTAATATATTTAGGTGCTTCAATGCTGGGTGCATATATACGTACAATTGTTATATCCTCTTGATGAATAGACAACTTTATCTTTAAATACTGAGCTCTTGTTTCTTGTTACATGTTTGATTTAAAGTTTTTTTTTGTCTGATATTAGTATAACTATCTTTGCTCTCTTCTGGTTTACATTTGCATAAAATAACTTTGTCCATCCCTTCACTTCTAGTCTATGCAGCATACTGTAGGGTCTTATTTTTAATCCATTCAGCGGCTCTGCTTTTTGATCTATTTACATTTAAAGAATTACTGCTAGGTAAGGATTTACTAATTCCATCTTAATAGTTATTTTCTGGCTGTTTTGAAATTCTCTGTTTCTTTCTTCATCTCTTGCTGTCTTCTCATGAATTCATCATTTTTTGTAATGTCATGTTTTGATTCCCTCCTCATTATCTTTTGTGTATCTACTATAGGTTTTTGCTTTTGTGGTTACCATGAGGCTTATACAAACTGAAATATAGATATAACAGTCTATTTAAAGCTGATAACAGTTTATCTTTGATCACATACTAAGCTTCTACCATTTTACACCTCCTTCCATATTTTGTTTTTAACATCACAATTAACCTATTATATTGTGCATCCATTAACAAATTATTGTAGCTAAATTTATCTTTAATACTTTTGTCCTTTAACCTTTATATTAGATACATGGT